TTATTCACCGCCAGTCATCAAACCAGCAACCAGCCTCATCCCTAAGCATAATCAAAGTGTACAAATCTCACAGACCACCCACGGATACACACTCATACACACGGCATGGTGCAGCTTGCCATACTGAATGTTGTATTGTTCCACAAAGTCCTGCAAAATTACCAGAGCAATGGTGGAAAGTTTGGCAGTTTTCATCAGAAAATGCATACAAGCACAAACATTTTGATGTTTCACAATGACCAAAGCTGACATTTGTTTCACTCTTTAGCCATGGCTCCCATCTACAGCAAATTGTGAGCCAAAGTAATGCTTTGTGGAGTTTAAGGAACCGTTCACCTTCCCCAATCAAGGCTTGCTTTGTTCTTTATTTATTCCTAACTGCTTCAAAGTGCAGACAAGCTGAACAGTAACAGGTATTTAAGGTAAAGCATTTAATTAATGTCCATGAATGAACCTGTAAGCGATGTTAGCAGGGGATGTACAATCAAGAGAAGTCAAAACAAAAAAAACATCAGGTTCCACGCTTTCATATTTGAAAGTGTTAGCATTACGAATAAGTGATGAACATCTACCAAAGCGATTGAATATTATTCTAGATGTGGATACATAGAATAATAAGTTAGCCATGCTTTTTTAGCCCTATCTATTACAAACACGAACCGACACTGTCCTCACATAGATTTCAAATGCTTAGAGTTGGAAGGTCACAGGATTAATCCTCAAATTGGCAGGATAAATCTGGGCAGGAAAAGGGACTGGGCAGCGCTGAGGTGCCGTTGACCGTACAAAATCCCTGTCTGCTGGACTGAGCAGCTTCCAGTGGGGTTGTGTTTTTAAAGTGAGTAAACCATGGCTTTGAAAAGGTTAATTCATCACACTTTCAGAATAGAGAACAACAAAAACAAAGACGACAACTCTCTACATGCAACAGGACAATCACCACAGGTCACCACCCCCGTCAGCACGTGTCCCCGTCAGTGACAGAATAGGTGACCATCCGTAGCAGCAGCAAAGCTTTATTTTGGTTGTGAGGTTCAAAGGTCCTGAGATGCAAGTTGACAGATGCCGTCATGGCTGCCTGAGTGGCTGTGTCAGTGAACCTGAGAATATTTGTTTGAAAATCAAAGACTGGAAGAAAACCTGTGGGTGAAAATCAGAATCAAGTTTATTGCCAGGTAATTTTTCACGTTACAAGTCATTTTCTTTGGTGTCTGGTGGTGCAAACATAAACAATCTATGAACATAAGTTGCAATTGTAGATCAAAAATATCAAGATAACAAAGAAGATAATGGCTTTAGAATGAAAGCAACTAAAACATGTTGACTTGAGAACGTTTTCTATTCACTTTTCATTGTTCTTTGTCAGAGAAATTGGCATTTTTCATTTAATTGAAATCAACCATATTTGTACAAGAACAATTTACCAAACCACCACACCTCATAAATAATTTGGTTCCACAAACTATAAAATCAGTATTTTTCAATGTTTCATAAGTAGTCAATTTATTCGGCAAAAAATAAGAAATAAAACCATCACTCGTAAATTCTCTTTGAATGTATTTCTTGTGTCACTATTATCACTTTAAAAAAGGGCTTCCTTTGGAATGTGTAATGACCTCTGACCCCATAGTGCAGGGAGTTTTCATATCCATGTCTCTATGGGCTCAGAACAGTCTCATAAAACACACATGCACACAGAAGGATTCACACTTGTATTTCATGATCCACATATTTGTTTTCCGTTTAAAACCTCTGCACCTGCAAACACAAACAGCTTTCTGTGCACGGATCGCTGTGCATTCGTGTGTGGGTTTTTTGAGACTCCCCTGACGGTCAGCCGATTCATACTTGTAATTTTTTCTATCTATAGCCAATCAGATGTCTCCTTAACTCTAAGCCAATCACATGAGCGCGCCCCCACGAGGGTAGATTTCTTGCGTTCATGACGTAGCGCTTCATGTACGCATTTTGCGCTGTCCGGAGCTGACAGGTCCATGGAGCCTGGGCCGGCCCTTGGCATAGGCAGTATAGGCGAATGCTAAGGGCGCATCAATCTATGGGGGGGGGGCCCAAAAAAATTGAATTTTTTTATTTTTATTTAAATACTATTTTTTTTAATTTCATAACACAATTTCCCGATTTTGGATCAACAAAGTACATCTTATTATCTTATACTAACCAAACTATGCCTATATTGCGTACAGCGCCCATACCCAGCTAGCGGGGAACGTTATCACAACTTTGGCTAACGTTACCTATTGGTTCTAATAAGGCTTTAATGAAACGTTTTAATCTGATGTTCAAAGAACCTTTTTAGGATGTTTATTTTTTCAAATTATGTTCCTATAAGGTTTAAGGTTAACTAAGACATAACGTTTTAACTGCAACATTCAGAGGATGTTTTGAGGATGTTATTGAGGCCTGAGATGACAGAAAGTTTATTTATAAAACGTTCCTTTAATGTGATATGTTAACAAAGATGGAACGTTTTGCCTCCAACTTTCTAAGGATGTGTTTTGGACGTTGTTGGGTAACACATTAAAGATGTTCTTTATAAAACGGTCCCTCAATGACATGTAACAAATGAAGGACATTTTGAAAGCAACATTTGGATAATGTTTTCAGGAGGTTATTATTTTTTTATAAAATGTTCCTGTGATGCGAAATATTAACACGGTCATGGGCAACGTCAGATTTATTTGTAGTGCGCTTTAAAAAACAAACTTGCTGCATTTGTTTGAAAAGGATGTTTAAAAGAAATCTGATGTCACCACATTTTCGTTTTTAGAAAAAAACAAGCACGTAATTCATGATAATGCATGTTTGCGGTGGCATGTCTGAGTTCCCAGCTAGACATAGTTGGTTCTAATAACATTCTGAGAATGTTACCATTCATTGTTCTAGGAATAGTTTCACCGAGAAGTTTTATTTTGGTTCCTAGAATGTACTTCTGAAAGGTAGGATAACGTTCTCTAAAAACATTCTTAAAATGTTTGGTGATAATATTGTTGGAACATTATACCCCAAGTGTTTTGTTGTGTATGCACATATCTCTATGGTCATATGGATCGAATAACACTTAGAAAACCAAAGACAGACATATAGAAGAACGGACCGACGATCACTGCCTGTCCCTGAAACCCCTGTTAGTGGGTTAGTGCCCCCCCCCCCACCTGCCTGCTGGTCTGCTCTACACGGCTGGGACCAATCTCCAATCAACCACACCTGCAACTTGCTCATCAGCCACACTATGAAAGCCTGCAGCCTGCACTCATTCCCTGCCAGATTGTTGCCGTGAACGGTTTGTTGCGTGCCGCTCTAGCTTTTTGCCAGCATATTCTTTGACAACTTTTGTCTCATTTTTGTGTCTCTCCCAGGAGGAATCCAAGGCCTTCCACACTCCCAAGACCAGCCAGGCCTCTCCACCCACCCTGGAACAACTGTTTCCCACTGCCGCCATAACCAACCTCCACTCCCAGCTCCCCTTTTCTAATAAACAAATGTTACTTTCACCAGCTGATTCCGAGTCATCCTTACATGTGTTAATAGTCAAATTCCAATAGTTAAGTAAACTATCAAAATCATCCTGATGACCACAGTGGTCAGTCCACTTACCCAGGAATTTTGAGTTGAACAATTACAGGAATATTATGTCTTTATGTTCTAATAATGTAAACATATTTTAGTAAATTGTTACCACAGAACATTTGCATACTTTTTTTTAACATAAAGCATGTTATCCTTCTCTAAAATAATAACATTCTGGCAACATAAAAAATCTAACTTGCAGCTGAAAATGTTTTAAGAACAGTAGGGCATAATGTTCTAACAATGTTATCAAAAACATTTGAATAAGGTTATCACCAAACATTTTAAGAATGTTTTTAGAGAACGTTATTCTACCTTTCAGAAGAACGTTCTGGAAAACAAACAAAAACTTCCCGCTGAAAACCTTCCTAGAACAATGACTTTAACATTCTCAGAATGTTTTTAGAACCAAACATTTTGGCGCACCCCCCCCCCCCCCCCAAAAATCAAGTTGAACTGCCCCAGCCCCAGTCAAAACCAGAGGTTTGTGTGAAATAGTTCTTTTTTTTAAATAATGGTTTTAGTGTGCAATTATAGGTTTTAATTTTGTATTTGTGTTAATTTAAAATAAATCAAACTCCCAAAAAACGTATACAGCTTTTATTAACATTGGAATTTACTGTGTAAGCGGCCGCAGGGGGGAGAGCTTTAGAAAGCTCTCTCCTGAAAGACTGAGAGGCTCTGATAACCTTAGCTCAGTGAGGTAAAGGCACACATTTATATGATCATTATAGTTTTTTTTCATATATTCTCTTATAGTATAAAATACTATATGACAGTACAAAAAAATTGTTATTAATAAACAAGAATACAGTTTGAAAGGGGAGTGATTTGTAAAATATCCATAAATAAAAATAAAATCTGTTTACAGTTCTGTTTCATATGGATGTTGAGAGATGTATCCATAGATCTCTTCATGTTGCTCTCAAAGTGCACCAGATTGATGCTTTTAACTTCAATATAAAAAAAAAAAATCTTCCCGGACCCCCCTAGAGGATGTTAGGTCCACCCCCCACTTAAATCATGTTCAAATGGATAGGATACGAAATACTTTGCACACATCTTGTGTCCATATCTTTCTGTTTTGGTGGTCATGCCACAACCGTGCACGTGCATGCATACGCAGTCATAGTGAGTGTCTGCATTTTGAGGAAAGACAAAATAGGGTCCCCAAAGTATTAGTTCAGGTTACCTATGGAGTCACTGGGCGTCCAAGATTTGATTTATCTCCAGATTCCCTGTTACATCTTCTTAACCTGGGTCTTCCAGTGCCCTGTATTGCTAACCTAATGGGAGTGTCCACTCGTACTATTTACAGACGAATGTCAGAGTCTGCCTTCTCTGTCAGAGCACTCGATAGCACCTGTTCAGATACAGAGTTAGACAATTTGGTAACTGACATTAAAAAAGACATGCCTCATGCTGGGTACCGCCTGGTTAAGGGAACCTTGCAGTCCAGAGGATTCAGAGTCCAGTGGGAGAGGGTGCGGGACTCCATGCACCGTGTGGACATTGTAGGCATCCTTTTCCGAATGAACCAGCTAGGGTGTGTTGTGCGTCGCACCTACTCAGTTCCTGGTCCCAAATCCCTGATGCACATTGACACCAACCACAAGCTGATTCGGTGTGTATAATTCCATTTGTAACACAATATTGACCAAAATTGTAGGCCACATTTTTATTTTAATGTTTAATAATTGTTCAGCCCAAATATGTGTCTTATTATAGTTTATTTCATTTAATCAGGTACAACATTGTCATATTTGGTGGCATTGATGGCTTTTCAAGAAAGGTATGATTCAATAAAAAAAGAAAAACATTAAACGAGACATCTATAAAAGGATACGTTTACATCCTTTTTTATTTAACTTTTTAGATCATGTTCCTGGGTGCAGCAAACAACAATCTGGCCTCAACTGCCCTTGCCTTCTTTCAGAAATCAGTGGACAGATATGGATTTCCATTAAGGTAAGTGACAATACATGGGTCCTTTCATGTCAACTTGAGACAGAAGTCAAGACTACATTTTGACACCCCATATTTAACTTAGAATAACAGAGATTAGGGACTCCGAGTGTTCATGGACAAGTATGGAACATCAATATTTAACTAAAGAGTAAAGAACTGAAAAGGTTTTCATGATTATCATGTTTTTGTTGGCTTTTATAATAGTGTGTCTATATGATATGTTTATAAAGATCATTTAAAGACAAAGAGAAGATAAAATGGTTTGGACCACATTTAATCACGCACTATAAATGCTATTCATTTGGTAGGGTAAGAGCAGATCACGGAGTTGAGAACGTTGACATTGCACGGCTGATGTTCTCTGTCAGGGGAACAGAAAGGTCCAGTTTCATCGCTGGAAAGAGTGTGCACAACCAAAGGCAGGTTCAGTCGCACTTCTCAAAGCTAGTTTTTTTTTGTATCATGCAACATCATTATTACTTTAATTGATATCGCAGCACTGTGTCATGTCAAGAGATTTGGAGACAATTCTGAAACATTTATTTTTGTTAATTTGTTTTCTAATTAAGGTATCAACTGCTGTGACATAATTTTCAAAGGCATGGTTTCAGGGATCATGCCTTTCTTGAAAAAGTGCCGGACCTCCATGCTTTGATACTAAATATTGCAACTCATCATGTTTTACACAACGTAACTGGCTAACGATTGGTATATATCAGTGACGTGCGGTGAGGTTCATGGCTGGTGAGGCACTGACTCTTTCAGAGTCAGATTTACAAATATTATATTTTGACCTTAATCGAAATGTTCAATTATTTTCAAAAGCTTTTTTAGTCTGATGCTTCAATTCATTTTAAACAGACTGTTCAACAAAAGGATACCCACAATCTAAATATTGGATTGTTCTTTCTTAGTAAGATCCCATGTTCATTACAATTGTGGTCTTACCTTGACTGGAAGATGAAGTCCATGCTATCCTTCTGGACAACAATCTCCATTACTTTTTTGTAAAAGTCCTCCTTATCTTCCTCTAGTTTCAAAAGTCTAGTTTGTTGTTTGTCTCTGCATAGAATAACAGTAGCAACAAGAACCTGTGGGCTCACTTGCGCCCCCTTCAGTGCGGCAGAGGTTATGGCTGCCTCTCCTGGTGCTTTTTTCATTGCCGTTGAATGATGAGACCAGCGAGCCTAAATATCATATATATGTGAAATAAGTTATTTAGAGACTATGGATGGCGAGGATAAATGTAATAAAGGGATCTACAAACATTACATTGGTGACATACAGTGAGATGGTGCAGGCATGCGCTTAGGGGCCGCTTTCCAGCCAGTTTCTGTGGGGTGACGCATTCTGAGGTGAGGCAGAGCTCATCTGTGCCTCACCTCACCACACAGTAACTGGCTTGAGCGCGCTCACAAAATAAGTGCCCGCGCTACATTAGTGCCCGCGCTCCAGCCAATTACTGTGGGCTTACGTGAGGCAGAGCTAGTCCCTGCCTCACTCCTTATCGCTCCCATGTAGGAGTTGTAGCGGAGCTCGGCCAATTTGCTGATTTTGACTATAAAAAGCGATTGGAATCATACAGAAATCACACTTACAACACAGATCAGTGGAGACATGTTATTATTATTATTATTTAGTTTTTCTTTAGTTGTTTTTCCGTTACATTGGAGTATGGCAGGTGAGGCTCTGCCTCCCCTGACTGCACGTCGCTGGTATATATATATATACAGTATATACACTGTATATATGCACTAGGGAATTTGGCCCAGAAAATGAACTTAAATGAGAACAATTTCTGTGAAAATTTGAATTAAATTATTTTACATGCAATATTTATTGACTAATTGGACAAACAAGTTAGGCCTTAGTATCCCCCACAAAATAATTGATCACTTAATTGGAACAACCATTTTACTTTTCAGAGTTTTAACTTCCATCACTGGTTAAAAAACATGGAATAATAAAAATATGAAGCATAAATGTATGCAAACCATATCTTATCTTACAAACTATCCTTCCAGAATTGAACGCCTCTGGAGGGACGTGTGGTGTGCTGTGACCAACGTATTCTATAACGTACTGCACTCGCTAGAGGATGATGGTTTGATTGACCTGTCAAACTTTGCACACCTCTTCAGTTGTCATTACGTTTTTCTGCCCAGACTACAAGCTAGTCTTGATATATTTTGTGGTGGTTGGGATAACCACCCACTCATAACTGAGAGAAACATAACTCCTAATCAGTTGTGGCACATGGGAAACATCCAGCATCTTGTGGCAGAACCAGACAATGTGGAGGTAAAGGGGGCATCATTGTGCCATCTATTATGATTTGATAAAAAATGCTATACATAAAAGGAATATTTCCACATGGTTTGAATTATTCAAGTATATCACAATGTAATACTAAAACATACAGTATCTTATAATATCTGGGTCCCTAGGGCAACAATCTTTTTATTTGTTGTCCTCAATGAAAATCAACTTGTTCGGGCATAACCTGAACATTTTTACAGTACACACTTGCTCTAGAGAAATGTATCCTCCTGGGACCCAGCCCATTGAAAATGTCCACTGTAGTGGACATTTTGTTAACATGCATCTCCTTTTATTCTTTTGAGCTACTCTATCAATCCCTGATGTACTGTACAGAGGACATCCTGGTCTTTCCAGTGATATGTCATTGGTTAAAATAGCATGCTGGGAAGTTCCTCTTTCTTTTCATCCAAAATGGCTGGCATACAAAAAACAAAATGGTATAGAAGCAGTAGGAGAAGTCAAATATTGTTGAATAATTGTAATTTTTACCATGAAAATCATATATGTTCTTGTTTATTAACATGTGAGGAACTATATAATTAGTTCTGAAAGCAATTAAATAATTCAAGTTTTCAAATAAAAGGCCTTTTATAAATGTCCATTCTAGTGGACGTCAGGACTATCTTCATGGACTTTATGACTCAATATTGTTGCAGGAGACGGAACTGAAGCGGACATTTTCTGTACCAGACAGTTCAGGAAGATTAAGATTTTGAGCTCTCAGATGATGAGAGAGATGAGAATTTCACACCTGGGATAGAAGAGGGTCAAGAAGAAGGGGGGGTAAAGATGCAGGAGGCTCCATGAGCGCACAGATAGATACATAGAGACAGATAGGGACGAGCTGGAAAGACATGACCCCCTGTGGGCCAAGAGTAGCACGTATGTCTTATTGTTGTTTTTATTTTAAGTGGAGCCATGACAAATGAGAATTGCCTCAGGAATGCAAGCTTTGTTTCTATGAGCATGGTCAAATGGAGACCACATCCATAAAACTAGTCAAGATGACCCTACAGCCCGTGCCGACTGGAGTCCAATGAGGTACTTTCCCAGTACATTGACTACAAAGTCTTTGAAGATCTGGAAAGATTCACCAAAAAACAAGCTAGTTTTGTATTGCCCAAATAAACAGCAATGTTCAGATCAATTACTTATTCATGTTTTAAATAAAGGTGAATGTATTATTGTATTAATATCACTCTATAACCATAATACGTTACATAATCCATCTGTTAATTTTGGCTGTCTTTTCAAACTAATATGGTCCCGACGTCCTTTACAGTGGACATACTGTAACACTTTAAAATAAAATAAAATAAAAAAAAGTCTAAATTGCAAGATGTTTTTTTAACCCTAAATAGGTAGGAAATCACAAAAAAAAGGAAATTGGAAGACACTTTTTTTTCCTCGGGTCCCAGGAGCACCTAAGGGGATATGGACCAACAACAAACAAAAAACTCCTGCACACAATAATGTTTTGCATGCTCATGTCTTACTAGTGAGCACAGCACAGGAGAGCACCAGTTCTTTACAGGCCGTTAAAATTATGTGTGGAAATGATAGTACAGGAATTTCTTCAGTTATATTTCACATTTGGACATTTAAGTTATCTTTTAACTATTTGTTTTAGTTTAAATCTGGTTTTCATGTATCACATTCTGGTGAATTATACCTCCCTCATCTTGACTGGGAGGACAGTGATGATCCACACCATGGGGTCACTGTTCCTGAGACAGGCCATTTGTTGAGCTATCAACAAGAGGCAGCACTGGGGGCAGCCATAAATCCCCTGGCACAGTCCCAGTTCTTGTGTCAGGTACTGGGAAGAAGGGTGGCTGAAATCTAATACATTTGGATTTGCATTAAATACACTGCAGAAATCAATATTAAGGTGCTCTGACTCTTTAATCTGTTTGATAAGGCTAGAAAGATAAGACTCAGATCTGGTGTTGTAGACTACATTGTAACTAATATGACACATTTGTTCTTCGACTAGGATAGATGTGGATAATGAGAACACATGTGAATGCATTACACTTAAAACATACAGTACATGCATCAATCATTGCATGAAGGAAATATACCATCTTGAATGAAGCGACGAAGGTATTCTGTGACACGGCTCTTATCTTCCAAAGAGCATTCATCATCATCATCAACGTCAATCATGGTCGGCCAGTTGATGCGGTCGATAATGCTCTACATACAAAAACATCAAACAGACAAGCCATCTGGAATACATTTTTTTTCTGCAGTTTGGAAAATGTTTCTGATTGAACACTTCATTTCCAGCTATGATCAATACTACCGGTCTTATTAGACGTATTTACCTCTGCGGTCAACACAGCACTTGACTCCTGTGGAAAAAGAATTGGAGCTGCATCTGGACGTTGATTAATGAGGAGCCACAGCATTGTGTCTTTGAGTCCTTTTCTGATTTGCTTGATTTGCCTCATGGCTCGTCCAATTACCTGTTGAGATAAAATACAAAAACAAATCTTTATACCTTCAGTGGGATAAAAGTGTTATACAATATGTTGATAGTGTCAACAGTATTCAATACTGCATGATAAAGAAGTCTCTCAAAGAGCCATCGCCGCTTGTCGTTAGACATCACAGGAAGGTCCCATGCCAGACACAAGGTGTTCACACTCTCCTTCTCAGCAGCTGAGAGTTCGGAGTTCCCTTCGAGCTTAAAGACACAATATGGACACACTTAAACCGAATCTAAAATGTGTTCAAATATGAATCATGTGCAATTTGGAGAATACACACTATCTGGATTTTCTCCCTTAGATCCATGTCTGGACAGTCACGAAATGCTAATGGTGGCAGTTTCAGCTGTGCCTCCACACAGGATATGAACAACAGCTGGGCTTAGGCCTGTCAGTGCAGGACCTCCATGTAGGAAGCAATGGCCAATGATTCTGCCCACCATCAGAAAAAGGTCACTCTCAACCAAGAATGCAGACGATGAAGGCACAAGGTGGTATGGCTCTCCATCGAACAGCTTTGTGACACAGCAATTTCCTGTGCAAATAGAAAAAATTCGTGGAACAATGATCATGTTATATTACTCAGCAATTATGTGGTTGTACAGAATAAATTACATTAAAAATATATATGTAGGTCTGATCGTATCTTAAATATGTTTTAATTGAATAAATTATAGATGGATTAGGAATATTGCAGCATGAACACACTTCAACATAAGACACCCTACCAAAGTTCAAGTTAAAACCCTCTTTCAGCTTCTGCATCACTCTGGAAAACCAGTAGCGGTTCACTCCCTCTCCGATTGCAGGATCACCTAGCAATTATAAGAAATGTAAATATTCTGGGTATTTTTTTGTGAAAAAAACAACTGCACTAAAACAAAAAGGGCAAATCTTCAAGTCTGCATTGCATAGGATTTGCACACTCTACATTGCGTGCCTTGCAAAATGCAATGAAAGCCATTTCTTGGTCTGAGATGCTGTCTCCCAGGTTAACATGCAAATGCAGCGGCTTCCCTGATGCATGAATGTCCAGCATTGTTTCTCTGTACAGCCGAGCAGCCCTGGCTGGGTCTGGTATAGTTTTCCAATCTATAATTTAATAAAGATTTCAAAATGTCAAAAGCAATAAACCAAAGGTTTTAAACTAGGACCACTAGCAGGTTGTTACAATACACAACACACCTTCAGTTGTGTTGGCAGTAGTGTTAATAGGCTACATGCACTAGGCCCTAGGGTCTGAGACGTACTTCCGCCTTAGCCGTAATACGGCTCGGCAGATTCCGGTTTGCTTCCGGTCTGCGTAGCTGAGCGTCCACAAATGTTTTACTGTTTAAATCTATGGTTTAAATGAGTCGACGGAAGATTTTCAAAACGGAGCATTTGCAAAGACAAGTAAAGAACTACTCCGAGCACTGCTGTGTCCCACTTTGTACGGCGTCAGCTAAATTCAACGGCGTCCTAAGTTTCCATGGCTTTCCGACCGAACTCGAGCTGCGAAGACAGTGGCTGGTTAAAATACGACGCGATAACTTTACAATCTCCTCTCACTCCAAGGTCTGCAGTCGTCACTTCGCTACGGATCAACTGTTACGGCCCGTCTACACTACAGGCGTAGTCTGGGCGTCTGAGGCTTGGCGATTTTTTGCGAGCAACGCGACCAACAACCAATCACATGAATCTCCCGCCCCCGACATACAAAGCAATAGCAATGTTAAAACGAAGTAAACTGGATATAAAATCCCCAAACAGGCGAAAACCTACCAGTTTCACCCACTGTCTCTGCCACCTCCCTCCTTGCCTCGCTCCTCCGGTTTGTATACCGGGAGATGAACAGAAACTGATCATACAGCACCGGGTGATTCACTACCGCTATAATGAATTTTCCCTCCATTTTTTGGAATATGAGGAAATGACCTGCGTAGTCTCTCCCAGCATACACGCGGTTTGATTGGCTAGCGCTTGTACTGGCAGATTTGCATAAACGGGATTTCATTGGCTGACGCCAGCTTCGAGCAAGCATCGAGCCTCAAAAGTTGAACATTGTTCAACTTTTGACGCCGATAGACACTCGCGATGCTTGCAACGCCTTGCCATGCTACCCACAATGCAGTTCGGCGAAGTTTGAAAATATCCTACGTCACCCCATTTTTTGACACCTGTAGTGTAGACGGGCCGTAATAGAGCCAAAAACCATTGATGGTCGTAGGAGGCTTGTGAAAGATGCTGTACCAACTCTGTTTGAGTGGAATCACTTTACTGCTCAAACACCGCGGGCTAGTGTTTGGGAGATAAGGGAGCGGCCCACTGAACCAGTCTCTCGGGAGGAGCAGGAAGAGCACATCGATGTCCGTGACCATGATTACTGCTCAACCCCTGAACCAGCTTCACTGGACATGTCCTCTCAAGCTACAGAAGACAACTCCAAAACAGTGGAGGATCTGCAGAAGCAACTGCAGGAGTTAAGAGTCCAGCGAGAGTTTTGCTTACAGCGGTTTGCTGGCTCCGACGACAACATCCGATTCTATACCAGGTAATGTTTTGGCTAAATTCTATCCAAGTTTTTGAGATGGGTTAGCTTATAAAGAATCCTGTTTACCTGCCGTTTGACTGCTGACTATATGCATGCAGTGTTGGAATAAGTAGGCTACTCAACTTAACTGAAGTATAAGTACAAATACTATGGTTTGAAAATACTCCTGAACTGAATGTAAGAGAATATTTTCATCTGATCTGTTTATAGAGTCTTTTATGGTTCCTTAGAGTCTGTGATACTGCAAACATCTGCTTGTAGTCAGTCAGAGACTTCTCTGTAGGTAGAGGTCACAGGTCAAACGCTTCTCCAATATCCGTGGGGGGGTTTGAGATCTGGCAGGATCTTCTTTGAGACAAGCAGATCATTGTCTTGCATCGGCTAATTGATTATACGCGGGCTTTCTGGAAGCCCGCCTCTCCTCGTGTTGGTTAGATGTTTTGTGTCTTTTGGTTCAGAGATCGCTAGTGAAACAGGGGACGGTGTGCAACTAAGTGATCTCCCCGGCCGTTATTGTCTGTACTGTGATCAATAAAACTCTTCAGTGCTTTTGGCTAACAACGGTTCCAGACTCCTTCATTCTACCTCAACATTGCAACAACAGAAGTTTACCTTCACACTGAACATGTAGAATAATAAATCATGTGTTTTCATAAGTAACTAGAAACTATGAAGGTTAACTAAATGTGGTGGAGTAAAACATACTAATACTAACAACATACTGATAATACTTTACTACAAGTGGAAATCTTCAAAACCTTACCAAAGTAAAAGTACATGTCAATATCCACTGCGTTTCTCCCAGTTGCACACTTAAGAATGAAGAGTAAAAGTAGTCATTCTGTGTAAAATGTTCCCTGTATGTTTTAGATTATTATTACTGCTGCTTTAATGTAGTTGTTACATTTTACTGCTGTATATTACTATACCTGCACCAAGTGCCTTCTTAATCAGTCTATTTATTTGTAATGTATTATAGCAAACAAGAGGAAAGCATTAGCCCATGTGTTACAGTTAACGAGTCAATTAATGACTGACATGTGTCTTTTGTGTACAGATTCCCGAGCTATAACCACATGATGGCCTTCTGGTTTTTGATTGAGCCTTCCATTTATAAAATGGTTCGTGTTACAAGAGCGATATCAGCTGCCAAGAGGAATGAAGAAGTGGTTACACACGCACGTCCATCAACGGTAGGCTACGTTTCTTTTAACACACAATCTAAACACAAACTGAAGGGAAAATGTTTCTCCGACATTTCATTGCTTTCGTGTCGGCTAAAAGGCTATAGTAATCCTTTTTGAATACATCAGAACTAAAACAACTTAATGTTTTCCCCATGGTGTGCTACACTCATGACATTAATATAGTACCCTTTTTTGTTTTTATCTTCCAGAGACAGCTGCTTCAGCCAATTGACGAGTTCTTCCTTTTTCTCTGCTTCCTGTCGGTGGGTTTGAAAGAGAGGGACCTTGCAAACCGCTTCAACGTACACCAGTCCACTGTGAGTCGCATCATTGCAACATGGACGAGTTTTCTTACAACTTTATTGGGGTCAGAGTGCATCTGGCTTACACCTGCAGAAGTTCAAGTTCACCTCCCAGAGGCATTCAAAGATTTCCCAGACACACAGGTGATCCTGGATTGCACAGAGCTGAGGTGTCAAACACCATCCTCACTCCTCCTCCAAAGTGAAATGTATTCTACATACAAATCTCACTGCACCATGAAAGCCCTGGTTGGCATAGCCCCACATGGCGCAGTGACATTTGTTTCTAGTCTGTATGGTGGTTCTGTCAGCGACAAGGAGATTTTCAAACAATCTGGAATAGCTGCGTTGTTGACTGAAAACATGGCAGTGATGGTAGATAAGGGCTTCCTGATCAGCGATTGCTGCAAATGCAAGGTGTACTGCCCACCTTTTCTGTCAAAGCAGAAGCAAATGCCAGCCTATCAGGTGAGGGAGACACAGGCCATTGCCAGACTGAGGGTTCATGTGGAGCGTGTCATCAGGAGGATAAAAGAGAACAAACTTTTTGATGGTGTCATCCTCCTGTCCCATGCCTACAACATCAACCAACTGTTTGCAGTAGCATGTATGCTGTCAAACTATCAGAACAAAGCACTGGTCAAGAAATGGGTGAAATAAGACAAGATGATGACACCTGTGCAGGTAGCTGTGATTAAGCTGGGTGAGCACACCGTAATCCCGTGTTGCCTGACACACGCTAGTGTTTTGTTTGAATAAATGGTAAATAGCAAATTACAATGCGTTGATGATTTCTTACAAATGCAATGATTTACTATTCATTACAAAAAAATCACTTCACTTTATTGTCTTTTTAAATACAATTGTATATTTATTTACATATATGAAATGTGACAAACAATATATATCAAAAACAAAATATTGAAATCATATTTTGTTGTCATTCAGAACACATGATTGAGGGATTGCCTCCTAAAAACAATGACGGCTGAGCCAGGGTCTAGCAGCTAACTGCTTACAGAGTTAACAATGGCTACAGTGCCCACTACTTTTTTAATGACAGGTACTTCGGCATGTATGTGTACAAAAAAAAAAGTCTACTTTTTCTCTGATTGCTCTTTGCACTTCTGGATCTGTGTATATTCTTTGCACCAGGTAGTCCTCTTGTGCCCACACTACAAAATCACACCACTGCATCCCAGATACAAGAAGTTGACCCTGTACTTGCCAGTCATAGGCATGGCTTTTCTTGAGCTTAGGGGAGCCACATTCCATCTGCACATATTTGCAGTCGACATAATTTGGGACATTGGGACATTTGAATTAAACAAGGCCAAATTGGGGATATTCTGTTGGGTCAAAAACAACTCCATCAGGGGAGGCACCAAGCCAGGGCATAGAGGGGTGAATGACAAGGCCACAAGGGGAGTAGTTCACGTTTGCCAGTCTACTGTATTCAGCTGCTACTGTGGGCTCCATCTCTGCACCTCTCCTCATTTCTGCAGTCTGCCTTGTACCTTTGAGTATTAGCTCTGCAAGAGAGTTAGCAGAGCTCTCACCTCTGACGTGACAAATCTCTCTAAACCTAGAGGCAGTAACCCTGGGTTTGCGGAGCAGATGGCACTCTGAGCTAGAGCTTTGCTCACGGGTAGCCTCCTCAATTTTGTGAGACATTTCCAAATCAACAGATAAGCACACCAGCGGTAAATCACATGGCAAGATCACATACCCCTCTATGGGCAAGTGGGGTGTTGGTGGTGTGTCAGTGTGAAGTGTGGTGTACCGAGACGTCAAAGCAGGCATCTGATAGGACAGAACACTGCCCTCCTGCACAATCCCGAAGGCACTTTCCACAAGGGGCTTGTCAGGTCTCATGTTCATTGTGGTCACAAGCGGTCTGTCTTCAATGCTGAATGCTGAGTATGCCTCCGTAACTCTGAACAGGCAGGGATCTGGTAATGGCCCCACCATGCCTCTGTAGAATCCACTCCAACAAAGAATGGCAAAGACAATATAGCACATTAATGTGACAATAAAGGTTAGGAATACAGCACGAGAATTATTAATTTTAAAAACACAGGAAACACAATTTTCCAACTAAAATTACCTTACTCCAGTCTGCACCATCCTATTTGGTACAGGCTTGGTGAAGACCATGGAGTTGATGGGCCCTGGCTTCACACCCTTAAGGGAAAGACAATTACTGTTCGTTGAGTCACTTTAAAACAAAAACTATGAAAGATTAAAAGTATTTTAACCTCATTGAAATTACCATTGTTTGCGGCTTGTGCCATTGCTGTTCCGATTCAGTACAGCTATGCACAGGTGGCACAACTGGCATGTTCAGTTCAGTGTAGTGTGCTGTTTGGAACAGCAATGCTACTGTGTGATTGCACAAAACAGTTCCTGCAACACAGGAGCACTGGTTGTGCGTGAGCACCACTGGTGATGAATCACGAAGCGTTATCTAAAAAAGAGAGAAGAAATACTAGTGATTAGTAACCTCACTTGTGGTAAATGAGCCAGGAGGTTATTATGAGTAGAATTATTGGTTATTTGTACTGACCCATTATCCTAGAAGAAGCATGTATTCCTGAATGCTTAGTGTTACCCTCTTACCCTACAATACCACAATGAACTTTCTTTGGAAACTAAGATGCCTTGAAAATTGTATTAAAGCAGTTTTGACTATATATTTGAACCCCCAAACTTACACATCCATAATCAATGTAATAATATCTGACCAATCAGCTGTGATAAAGCAGGAAGAAGTAGGACACTGTTGAGATTCCCTTAAGGTAAACTAATGTTTAACTGAACTGAAACTCAATAAACAGGGGGGAACACAGTGTCAATGCTGCCTGCCTACACTCAAACTGTGTGCTGTCTCGCTCTTCCTCATTGACCTGTAGCACAAGGCTGTCACGCTGACCTGCCCTGTCAGCCTGTCTTTATTGGACACTGAATGAAGAAAAACAGAGCAACAGCGTTAGATCTATACTCACGTCAAAACATCTATGGCAACATTTCTTTACAAAAGCTGATACCATTATGCGGTGTGGCTAACAACAAGACAACCTTGGCTAGGCTATAAGGCTATTAAACGATAGTATTTTTTAGCAAAATGGCTAATGTTTAAAATAATTAACACCAGAAACAGTACATAGCGTTACCCAGAGCCCTATAGTAGTCTACTATAGTAGTAGTATAATAGTAGTTATACTATAGTGCTCTGGCGTTACCTAGCTTTTGACAGCTAACGTTAGCGTAACCCGGAGCATAAGCTAGCTGGTTAGTACCTGTTACCTTCTTACCTTCATAGTTGTGTATATATGACGCAGCATATCATTTGAAGCCTTTATCGAGTTTGCTGGCTGGGGCTTTAGTCGTCCGGCAAATCCGATGAACATCTGACATTTTTAATTTCGGAAGCTCTTGTAGGCAGCGGGTGTAGAAGGTCGTCATTTTCAAACAGGAAATGAATCGGCCGCTATGAGTAGAATGCGGAAGTGACTGTGCATGTAGCCACAAATGAAATGAAATGAGCAGAAAGTATTTCAAATAATGATTACAAAAAAATGCAAAAAATAAATTAAAGATATACAATATATTTTAAGATCATGTTTAATCATCTGATTCGTCTGTACATTGCTGTTTTAGTCTGTGTTCTTCTAATTAGTGTCTACAGTGTGTGCCTATTGAGCTGTTTAGAGCCATGTGGGACAAAACCCGATCATGCCCCTCCCTCTCACTGTCTAAGTCAATGGTGACTGTAAAAACGACACTGCGCATGCTCAGAATATTTTCCTATTTAAAGAGCCTGTGACAGCCTCCAAACAACTGTTGTGCAATGAAATATTGGGCTACTAATCATCTTGAACCGTCAGCTTAAAAAAGAAGGTGCGATACCGTTCCGATACATATCAATAATTTTGAACATCGTGGGAAGTGACGTCATTACGGGAACGCTTCACTGTGCGGCGAGAGAGCCAAACACGGACAAAGTGTGTTGTCATGTGTAGAAATGGTGAATTACTGAGTTTAGGCACGTTAATAACGTTTTAATGAAGTTGACTACAGTATATTCATATTTGTCAGTGCTTTCATGTCAATTCGGCGAACATAAACATAAATGATCGTGGTGAAGATGATGATTAAATTAGGATTAAAATCGGAGCTGCTGAATTTCCTCCCGTCGGATGTGATATAAAAACAAATCGATTATTTTTGTAGTTGTAAACTCAAGTGGATGAAACTACATTTATTAGTGCTTTCATGTCAATTCGGCGAACATATGATACATTAAATGATCGTGAGGATGATGATTTAAAAATCGTTTGTTTGAGCCGGTCTGCATTTCCTGATGAGAAAACAAACTGATGCTTTTTGTAGTTGTAGTACACCAACATGGATTAAACGTGTGTTTTTTTTACCACAATGTTGGGGAAATTAATGGATAAAATGCACGGATTATTATTATTATTATTCCCACTCCGATCGGGGCACTAGGTCCACCGTTTCCCCGCAGCGAGGCTCCCCCGTTGACAGTTTACGTGGGCTGGGCTGGATGCAGTGGCGGACTGGCCATCGGGACGAATCCCGATAGGCTGGTACCGAAGTGGGCCGGTCGGATAAGTCACTAGCACATCCCCCACTCCCCCCGTTGACAATTTACTAGCGGTACCGAAGTGGGCCGGTCGAGAGTCCCGGGATGATTTTTAGTCCCAGTCCACCACTGGCTACATGACCGTATGATCGCCCATATTGACGCACCTAATTCCTAAACTTCTAACAGATACAACATAAACCGATCCTTCAGCCTCATATGAGCTCTCAGACACGTTCAAAATTAAACTGTCATCGCTGTCTGAGCTTGCTGCTGTGTGCACCATCGTGCGTTTACATGCAGATGCTGGGATCCTGAACGGTGCAGCTGGAGCGCTGTGCCCGCAATGATGTCACACATAATTTGGCGGGACTTGAAGAATCCCCGAGCAGATCCAGAAAATGGTCAACATTGAAGGGCAGATACATGGTTATCAAAGTACAAATATCCAAAATCAGTTCAGTAACGATTTTCAAGGGGACAATATTTACTCAAATTGATGGGTTTGGATGATGGGGGAAACTCGTGTCACAGGCTCTTTAATGTGTGTGGCAAAAACATAATGACCATAGGGGCACTGAGCTGCCATCCCCACCATACATCATCTCACATAATTCAGAGCTGATTGGCTGTAAGTACGTGTGCCGCGAAAAGTGTGGTGTGTGAAGAGGAGACGAGAGAGCTGCAGTGACGCGTCCTAAAACCCGGAAGTAAGCTGCGCATGGCTTCCCTCAACAAAAAAGCAATGAGATTTCTCCATAGGATTTTAGAAAATAGCTCGAAATAAGATCTGTGGGAAACGTACCTGTTAGATAAATGCACGTTTTGGTCAGCCGGATAATATCCACATGTCTACCCTACTTTTATCATTTTTCGAATCATAAATCTATCGATAAGATTTATGATTTGACTTTTGAAACTACAAGATAAGGAGCACTTTTACAAAAAAGTAATAGAGATTTTTGTCCAGAAGGATAGGCAAATGGACTTCATCTTCAAGTCAAGGTAAGATCGCAATTTTATTGAAAATGGGATCTTACTAAGAGAGAACAATTAAATATTTAAATGATAAAATTAAATTTTTTGGGTATCCTTTTGTTGAACTGTCTGTTTAAAATTAATCGAAGCATCAGACAAAAAAGCTTTTGAAAATAATATTATATTTTGTCAACTCAAAATATAATATTTGTAGAGGAGTCAGTGCCAGCCATGAACCTCACTGCACGTCACTGCAGAAGCTTATATAGACATCTAAGTTTTTTGTGCCCCACCACTTGTGTACATATAAAAACGCCACTGAGTATCGGTAAGAGTAGTAGTAGGCCTACCAATAAAAGCTTTACAATACCCATCCCTAGTTCCAACAGCTGTGATAGTTATTGAGTT